TAGTGGGTTGAGACATGATCCATGTGGGATACACTCGACAATTATTCAAGGGCATGCGCAGTAGTGGGTTGAGACATGATCCATGTGGGATACACTCGACAATTATTCAAGGGCATGCGCAGTAGTGGGTTGAGACATGATCCATGTGGGATACACTCGACAATTATTCAAGAGCATGCGCAGTAGTGGGTTGAGACATGATCCATGTGGGATACACTCGACAATTATTCAAGAGCATGCGCAGTAGTGGGTTGAGACATGATCCATGTGGGATACGCTCACCAATTATTTACGAGCATGCGCAATAGTTCAGAAAATGAATCATCAATCTAATACATACTTGCTCTCTATTGGCAAAGATATTAATAGAAGCACTCTGGCTAAATCCAGCCACTCGAGCCATGAGATCCTTGAATGACGTAGTATCCTGCGTCATCAGATTATCGATGATAGTTCGCCAGCTGCCGATGCACGTGATATCCATCTGAAAGAAACTATTGTCCATCACTTGCTCCATGACGTCACGCTTCCACGCACGGCGCATGTACTGATAACCGCTGAGTGAAGCTACCACGGCACAGCAGGCGCGGAAGTTGGGTATGTTGGAAGGACTGCAAGTAAACAAGATTTGAAACAAGAAAAAAATTAGTACAAACAGTAAATGTCCAGAAAAAATGTACAAAATTAGGAAGAGTTTTCGAGTTAAAAAAAAAACAACTTAAAAACCTAAAAATGGTAAACAATACTAAATGTAGTCACTCAGAGACCTGTGATGCTTCAGGTATGGCGTGACGTTATACATCACGGTAGTCAATAAACTTGTCACGCGATCTTTCTCTTCGCTACCGAATACAACGTCCAACAAAGGTGCCAGGACCTCTGCCATTACACTGAGAGCCTGGGTACTATAGTGACTACTACTGCTGCTGATGGCCTTGGCCAGCGGTATCGGTTCAAGTGCAGGCTCGGAGTCGGATATTTCTGACTCTGTGAACTGGTCCGTCGACGAGGCCGCTGTATCGATTTGAGGGATGACTGAGATATTGCGACGAAACCAAGCGGCGTTTTCAAGAGATGAGCCAGCGACAATGTTGCATGCCTCGATAAGACGCTGGGTGATGTCCTAGATGAAGATATTAAACAATTAATCATTAAATCAATCAATAAAACAGGTATTCCACCAATCAATCAATCAATCAATCGATCATTCAATCAATCAACCCATCAAAACATTTATCCCACAAAATCTCACTTGTAATTCTTTTTTAGCCTTCTTGTCCTCTTGCAACGGAATCCGCTGTACATACGATCGCAGTATCACTAAAAGCAGGAACAAAGCTGGTGGCTGATTAAGCTGTAAACCTTCCTTCATTAGCGAAATGAGAGCCGATCGTGCGTTGACCAATTGATTGTGTGCTGACTTCTCCATGTAATGATAGAAAAACTGAAGTATATGAACCTCTAGTCCATTCTGAGTTGCTGTGCTTTTGTCTTTACTTGTGGTTACTTGTCGCACAATTTGCTTAACGGTCTCGATGATGTTATCAAATGACAGAGCCTAAAAAAGATAAGCAAATCACTAGATGTACCACACTATGTTTCAAGTACACGCAGTCCACTGTGAGTATCAATTAAAGCCAAAAAGAGTTGACAAAAGAAGACACGTAGCCCAGGTTTTGAATACTGAACTCCGTCTTAGTATTTAATCACTTGATACGTTTATGACATGGTATTTTTTTACCTTTAGTGCGTAAACAATGTCGACAATAGAAGACTGTTCATCGGTGGCTCGGGTTACTACAAGACTCGATTTGCTAGACGAATGACGACCTCGTTTGCCTCTCTGGTGCCAGACATCGGCCAGCGAGGCCAGGAAGATGATGATATGGTTCATGACAATTGGAGTTAAAAGGTCGAGTACCTGGAGTCGTACAGACTAAAACCAAAGATAAACAACATTCAAATGCGCAGAGTTATAAATGCGGATTTTCCCATCACTCGCTCACTCACTCAATCAATCGACCAATTCAATAAAGATTTCATTAATTAGGTACTCACCTTTGGTGAGCCAATTAAATCCAAGAACGACTCAGAAGGAAGTCGATGACTCGTGTTTTCATGCGCATCAGGGTCCCACGAACTCCACACCGATATCAAAGCTGTCAGAACTGATGGTAACACGCTCAACAACCCCTCTCTCGCCTCCATGAACGGCTTTGGTCCTTCAACACTTGTCGTCTGACTAACAGAGGAGGACTGGCTCGAAAATACGTGAAGCAAGTTGGCAAAGATTTGACCGCTACTCTGAGCTGATTGGGCTTCCTGTGTGGATGTGCTTCCAGTGAATGCTGGGAATGGAGCTGCTCGTGGTTTTAGAGAGAGCCCTGGTGACGAGGGGAAAATATCGACGAGGCAAAAGTGCAATATAGTTCCCAAGTGTTCCAAGAGTGACAGTATGTAATCGGGTGGTAAGGATAGGTGAGATGATGTTAACGACCTGTTTGGTTTGAACAAAAACAACTTTTTATTAGTAACATCGATGCAAATCATACAGTTTAACGGTGGCTCGTTATCTCTTTGAGGTTATTATGACGTTGATAATTGTGATGATGATGAATAATGATGATGATGACGATGATAATGATGATGATACCGAAAATAAAATCAAAAATCATTACCTCGTTAGCGAGTGCGCCGCAATACCATTTTCATTCTTGGTCAGCGGTAAGTACAGTCCAGTCTGAGCCTGCAACATCCGTCCAACCTGCTGAACGATAACTACGACCCAGGTCCCTAGCGCTCCTTTCATGTGAGGAAGACACGCGATGACAAACCGTAGCCATTCATGATGCAAATCATAATCATCATACTGCAATCCATGCATGACTGCAGACATCAGCATACTCTGATATGCAAGAGTTTTACCAGGGTAGTAACGATATGCATTGCTTTGTAGAGTTGAATCGCTGTCGCTTTTAGCGGGCGAGCGAAGGTGCTCTGGAGTTGTAGCCTCTACAGCCTGTATATTGTCTTCAAGCACAAAAATCGCTTGAATCAACTTGAGTAGCTTAACTTGAAAAGCTCGCAGTTGTGATGGTTTGGATGTTTTGGAAACGCGCGATGGGTTGACATCGTTCTTGTCGCTTGAAGTAGGAAGGCTACAGCCCGTTCGTTCGTACAGTGTACTAAGAATGCAGTGGAGAAGAGCTTTCTGGACTTTGCATCGAGCGAAGAGATCGTTGATAAATGGACCAATACCAACGACATTTTCACGTACAACCTCGACCAGTTGCCATATGACGGAAGTCAGGACGTCAGCGCTGGTCATCTGCACCTAAGAATGATTGAAAGTATAACATAAAATACGATAACTTGATTCGTCTTTATACTGAGCATGCAGAGCAACACATCACATGGACTATCATACCTCGGTGTTACCGTCAATGTCATGGTTATCAAGATCCAAACTGGCTGGGTATTCACTCCGTATAAAGTACAACGAGACCGAGATCAGAATCTCGAGATACTTGCTTGTGTTGGGTCTCAGATACAACAGTGGGCCCGCGAACAAACGAGACGACTTCTGCTTTGCTGTTTGTGTCATCACAGAGAAGGAAAAAACAAAACCAATTCAAATTCCATGCATTTACTGAAGTTAGACAGAGAGGGAAGAAAACAATCGGTTTAATTTCAAGGAATGCTCGTAGCCAGAGAATAAATCTCGTAAAAACTTACAAATGAGATGAAAATACAACAAGACTGACACATAATACTTGACCCACCTTTTGGCGACAAAGGAGTCTCGTGTAGTGGTCCATAAAACCCTTTACCAAGCAACGACTTACGATGTCTAGCAAGAAGAACCTTAATCTTGTCCTGATGAGGTGTATTCGATGAACTGACACTACAAGTTGCAGCGGCGCATACAAACTGATGCGGAGCACTCCTCAATACCGATAGCAACGTACTAAAAGCGTATAGTGTTAGCTTGCTGTCGTAGATTAGTTGGTAGACTAGTTTGTGCTGGTCTAGTGGATGCACGAGGGTCTTGTCGTTAGCTTGGGTTTGTTTCTGTGGCTTTTCTTTGCCTTTTAAAGAACTTTTGGATCTTTTTTCTGAAGCAATAGAAAATGATATTGTGACGTTATCGTAGTGTTATCGTTCGTGAGAAACGATAACTTACTTATCATCATTATTATCTTATAATTATCAATATTATAATCATCATCACCATAAAGTCGTCTCCTTACAGCCTCTTGTCTTGGGCTTCCTGTGCCCTCACCACAGGAAACCCAAAACAAAATATTTATTTCTTACTTGTCTGTTCATGATCACTATCAGTTACTCGATCAAATTCACTTCCGCTAGGGCTCGTGTTGTCATCCAAATCACTCTTATCATCAACCACTTCAATGGACTTAGCTTTCTGCTCTAATGCACATGCGTGGTGGACAGAAAGACGGGCTGTAGCAGGATGAAGCAACAACACCAATAGAGGATCGAGTAAGCGACCCAGGTCACCGTGCTGTAGCGCATGCGCAAGCCACTGTTTAGTGAGCACTCTGGTGAATAATAATAAAGGAAAGCCAAGGTCAGGTATGACAGACAGACAAAAAGACATGCAGAGAAAATACACAGGTAAATGTTGCATAAAAACTATTATGTATAAGAACAATTTACTGATGAATAAAAAAGACAGCTTTGCAATCCAATATGGCTGTCATCACGTGATCTCTATTACCTTATTTCTGGGTCATCGCTCTCTAAACCATCAAGCATGATAAACAAGGCTCTGTAAAGAAAAATAACAAACAAATACAATCAACTTTTACTATAAAGGACACTTTCGGGACCGTTATTGAGTGTCCGCAAGAACTACTGTTTGCTGTAAAGAAAAAAAAAACTCGTTTCCATTTTGAAAAAAGCGAGCAGAGAAGCCCTGGGAACGAAAATGTTGTAAAGGGTTGAATAAAATCAGGTTTATTTCCTGTTTTACCTGTCTAGAGGACGCACATCACCAAGTCGCGAAGTTCGTCCGGAATCCTGAATGACCACATTTCGTGCGGTATGCCAGAACACAGCGAATTTCCAGTGGTTGTCCAAACGAAATTCCTGGAAATACAGAAAAATATAAGTAACAACAACCGCTTGTGTCGTTGATGTTGTTGGAGTGTACATGTCATTGTTTCCATAGAAGGAATAGTCATTGTAGTTGTTGTGGTTATTATCGTTGTTGTTGTTTTTGTTCTGTTATCTCTGCTGTTTCTGGAGCTTTTTGGCTCGCTGTTAGCTGCCCTGGTGATTTTCAAGCAAGTAATAACTTCATTCTGCAACCAACCTTGTCTTGATGAATCAGTAAATTTGTTATCACATTCTCACAAAGCGAAGGCCTCGGCGTCAAGCTGTGAAGCTGGAGGAACAGCTCTACAATACGTTGATGATAGCGAGATGAGCGATGTAATAAACGACTCCACAGGCTCTCCGCTATAACCTTGAATGGAATCAAAGGATAAGAATTAATACCAATTGCGCATGCTCCATAGACTTAATTAATGTCCCACATGGTTGGAAACAAGGGCAATATTACCTTATAAATACAAGACTCTTCTATGATGCTGAGATTAGCGTGTGATATCATTGGTATGACAACAACCACGACAGTAGACTTAGGCCTCTCGCTGTCCGTGTTGGGCGCGACGGACAGGGTCAAGTTAACAAGATCTAAAAGCGTTCCCACGGCTGAACTTTGGACATTGAAATCTTCTACTCTAAAGCAACAGACAATTAAAGCTTGCAGCCATTCTGGAAGACGGCGACCTGTTTCACCTATGAAGAGAGATAAATTCATCATTCAAGAAGTACAATAAAAGCAACTTTCCGTCCAGCGCCGAAGGGAAGTGGTCATGTGGATAAGTCTCCCTTCTTTTATTTCCACAGGGAGACCGAAAGAAACATACTTACCATCGATTTGGTTTGGGTCGTGATATGAAAAGTCATTTGTGCAATACACAGGAAAACAAGACAGTTCAACTAGCAGTCTACAGGCCGCAGCAAACGCCTCAGCACACAAGAGAGAACTTTCATGCTCCCATGGTAACCGCACATCCAATCCCTTTTCAATCATGACGTCAGTACTATCTTTCTCCTGATTGGATGAATCGAATTCTTTTTCGTCTGATTTGCTTAAAAGTTCTTCAAGGATAGCTGCAGAGTTTCTGCGGTTTTCGTTGGCATTATTTTCATTTAATTGTGCGTTGATTAAGATTATTCGCTGGTTTACAAATTCAGAGAAAAAAGCTTGAAAGTAATGCACACAAGACTGGACTAGAGACGGCTGAAAAGCGTTTGTAGCCAGTTTGGAGAAATTAGAATCTGTGGACTCTATGGAGACACCACTGGCACTTTTCAACGCAGACAATTGACTAGGGTCACATGACTCTTGACATTCAGACCATTCATCGTAACTTTCACTCTCCTCTTCTTTTTCAATTTCTCTTCCATTTGCTTTTGTTTCATTATCCTTTTTCTCGTTTTGAGCTTGTTTTTCATTATTAGCAAAATCAGAATCATTTTTCTCTGTTTCGTCATCTGTTTTACTTATTTCGCTGTCATCAGATTCCGTAATTTCATTTTGTGATGGTTGATCATTGGTGTCCCCTTTCACTTCAGTCTCTAATCTGTTTCTAAGATCAACGACACTCCAGCCATCGACACCTTGTGATATTCTCGCTACCTGGATGACACGGCTTTCATCCGTTTTCGTAGATTCGCTCTTAGAATTTGATTTCGAGTCTGAAGATGAATTCGCTTGGTTCTTTTCATTTTGAACCTTTTTATTGTCGTTTTTCGTTGCTAAAATATCATCTTTACTGTCAACATCAGAAACATAGCTTCCAGTAACTGAAACGCCATCTTTCGGGCTGTTTTCAACACTCTTCATTGATGGCATCACTTTTGAAAGAAGCTTGGAACAAAGTGAAATCCCTTCGCTAATTTCCAAAAGACTGAGTGATTGACATCTTGACGTCATTTCCATGGTCACGTGGCAAAGTAGGCGTGGCCAGTGTTCCGTCTGTGTCTCGATATCTGCCTCCTGCAAAGAAAGTTATTTGTTAATAACGTCATGTGAGCTTATATGACGTCATAGGCATCATCAAATCAACTGGCTTTAGTCTCATCAACAACTTTATCTTTTTTTTATACCTACCAGCGCTACAACATCAAGAAGAAAGTCTGTAATTCTTAGAACCTCAGAAAAAGAAGTTGATGGAATTCTTGTTTCTTCTGTATTGTGTGGTTTTTTGGAGCCATCATCTTCTGAAACTCCTTCTTTGTCGTCTTGCTGCTGTTGCTCGACAAAACTGACTGACAACAGCTTACAGACATACTCCCACATGAAGTACGGCTCAAAAGCATTGAACAGTAAATTAGCTGTCTTTATCAGATCGTCTGTAACCTTAGACTTGCTGGAGGAATCAGTTGTACTATCTTCATCCGACAATAGCCCCTCTTCCGAGTCTTTTCTTTCAATATCGTCGCTTATTGAGCTATTTCTTTTGGTTGTTTTGCAACGGAAGTACAACAATCTAAAAACCTCAATGAGAACGTCTTCCAGTACTGTGCTACCAATCTCCGGCCTATCAAGAAGACTTATGAGGATCCTGAAAGGCCATAAAGCTTCATTTTTCAAGGGCTTTTTTGAGGTACTTGATATATAATGCCTCCTAAAAAGTTCCCTTAGGGCCTCAACTGTTGCGGGTTTGGAATAGACATCAAAATATGTCTCTGTAGAATTTACTTCATCTTCTACACTAGAAATGCTGTCAGCCCGTGTTAAAGGTTTATTATCCTCTGGTCCAAGAAGCCATGTGTAGAGTCGTCTATTCAAGGACATGTCACGACGTAGCAAAGAACTCAGGCCAGCAGCTACTAGCTTGACTTTCTGAGCTGATGTTACAAGGTTGGTATTCATTGGTAGAAAAGTAAGGAGAAATTCAAGTAACGATCTCTGGACAAGGACGTTAGGGTCAGATAGGGCCAGGCAGACTGCTTGGACCTGGGTACACAAAAAATATAAATATAGGTGACATAATAGAATAGTTATCAATTATTATCATTGCCGTGAGATTTGTCCTGATTTGCATACGGCTTCAAACTTCGATTTTCTCTTACAAATGATATTTTATCCTGAAGTTTTTTTCGAAATATGCTTTACTCTATGTTGGAATTTGATAAGCAATATAAAATATTCGCTTGCAGCTCGCAGTTGTAAATGCCCATAAAGGTCTGCCGCTCATATTTTATATATTACTTAAAGATTTTTCTTAATAAAGAAATCAGGTTCAACATACCATCAAAGGAATGTCATTGCCAAGTATGTAATCCTGTTTAGTAGCTGTTTTCTTGCTGAGGCGTGACATAATGAAGGTTACTGCTGGTAGTCGTATGCTTGTTGTTGCTAGGATACAAGACCACATGGTACCATAGAATATTGTCATGTCAGTCTTTTGACTAATGTTTTCTAGGATCGTCATGGTCCTAATGATTCAAACATTGTTCATGTTATGGTAGTCCTACTATCTATTGATTGATTGCTTCAGTCTTTATTCTATTTGCTCATTTATCCATTCCTTATGAATACATCCATCTATTTTCTCCTTCACCCATCCATTTCATTCATTCAATCATTCATCCATTGCTTAATTAATACTTCCATCCATCCATTCATATTCCCACTCATCCATCCATTTATTCATTTCATTTCATTCATTCATTTAATCATATACACAACATATCAATTGTATTTTTAAAATGCTTTTATCACATACTGACTTCTCCATACGCACACTCTTAAATCCCATTCCATCCCAGAAGTCTTTGTCCCATTATTACTTTATCCATACCTATTAGTGTATTCAGAGCCCTCTTCAATTCCAGGAAGAAGACCCAATAACAGTCCAGGAAGACATGGTATCAGTGCTTTCCCCAATGAAACAAAATACTCTTCATAGATTCCCATCAAAGCTGGCTTGACTGACATTGACGCATTTCCAAGCAAGGGGAACAAACCAGACGTGTAAATGAAAAGATCCTGAGAAAGTCCTTTGTTTCCGAGTCTTCTGAAGATTAACTCGTATGTTTCTAGAGCTTTTAAGTGAACACCGCTCGGTAGAGCTGGGTGAGTACATTGCGAGAGTCTCTTGGCGATGATGATCTTGCGAGGGACAACTTTGAACTTTGGATGGAGTATGAGTACCTTAGGAAAAGAAGTAACACAATTAAAAGAAATCATGAAATTGGAAGAAGGTTGCACAGAGAATAAATGACAATATTTTTTTATGAATTTACATGTGTGCGAGCAAAAGGAGAGCAATGTAAACATTTAACTATTTCTAATAAATTATTCATTTATAATAAGATAAAAATATATTTTTTTAAATTGGTTATCAAATTCAATAACTTTAAACTTCTTCCACTTTTGGTAAAATATTCATACTATTCTGGGATTAAGTGTGACTGAATATTTTTCTGCTAGTTATGTTGCTATGGTATCATAATGTTTATTTCTTTGCTATGAAACTAACACAAATTTCAATCTTGTATATAAAGGTGGTATTTACCAGAATTTTAGCACTTTTAGAATTTTAATTTTAATTTTAATTTGAAACACCTCTGTATTTTCAACTTTACAATTTACTAAGAGACCATGACAGCTTTCTTTTCTTTCTTTTCCTTAAGATGAATCAGCTGTCTGTATCATATCCAGATTAACTGATGGTTAATCCAGTTGTGATGCAGTCAATATTAATCACTTGTTGTATGTGAATATCCTCGGCTTGGACAGAATTCATGACTGTGCAAAAACAACAGAACTTTTGTGTTGTCACTGTGCTAGTCTGTGCTTGACTATAGTCAAGATCTTTTCCTCAGTTTAATGTGTTCTATGGCGTAAACACCAAGTGAAGATCTGCGGCAGTGTTGTTGATCATGTTGTCATGAATACTGCACAGTTATGTGAAATCTGCCACAGTGGCAAAGAGTGTATAGAAAAATACAGCAAAAATATTATAAAATAAACAAACAAAAATAAATTTTATTTTGAAGTTGGTGTCCTMAGTACTTGATATGCTGTTATTTCAGCGTTGTACCTGTAAGTTATCTAGTACACACTTGTAAACGCGTTATAACAATTAATATATTAATAAATAATTCCTACCTTGTTAAGTTTCCCCAATGCTGATATAAGGTCAGCCCATTCGCTGGAATATTCAAAGTTCTTGAGTGCCTTATCAACAGCACTGATAAACTGACGATACTTTGAGTTCGAAAGCAGCTCGATTTCGTCGCTGTTCATCTTTGTTGAGATATTATAACTTGAACACCTGACCCTCCTTCGAAAAGGAAAATTCCACTTTTAAATACGAATTATTCATAAACTCGCATGGATAATGAACAAATCCGCAAATAAGTCAGAGAATCCATGCTTATTGTATATCCATATGCAGAGGAAGTGTCAATCCTTAAAGTTACTTAGAAGGTGTAGTACAAGATCAGTCATGCATTTTTCTCAGCTGTTAAATGATGCAAAGAAAACAAGCTTTTGCAGTTCCAAAGCAAAAATTTCCTCTTTTTCAAGTACGTTACTTTCTTTSAGGTCGCTTAGACAGTGCTTTATGGCTTTCAATGTTATTCAGTACGTATTTTAGACTCTAGACCCAAATATAGGTCAATTTAGACAAAGTTCGAATGTAGTTTGTCCGCCATTTTGTTGATGTGTCATCATTAGGGGAGGGGTAACCAGGCATAAACAGGAAGCCCATCACGAAACTCAAATTTCAACTTTAAAACATTATTTGACCAATGTGTATATTTCAATTAATAATTGTATAGGTATTTTAAAGTAAATTGAACATTTTTGCAGTGGAATTCAATGTTTTATTATTATTTTTTTTGAGAATTTTCGAATTTCTGTAAGTCACTCGCCCTAGGCTACTCTCGGTCTCTGTGCTCTGTGCATATTAAGCTTACAAACATTAGATTTGAACATTTTGAATCGCAATTTTGAACTGGAATTCGCGGAAGATATTACAAATTTAAACTCATAATGGCAGAATCTAGCACTGCAAAGACCAAGAGTACAACAAGAATGAAACATAAAGCAACGAAATCACACGATAAAGGAAAAAACACCGTTCTTAATACACCTCCAGTCCAAGAACACTCCTTCCTYACAGAYAGRACAGATGTTAAACTTATGGAGCAAGAATTGCTTTCCTTAATGGATGATTTTCACCAAGGAAGGCTACATGCCTTTGGATCAGACTTTACAATCGATAAAATGGATAAAGTGAGAGATTTACAAGACAGAGTTGCGCAGATGCACTTTGAGATGGACAGCAATAACGCTGTTAACGACCAGGAAGGGGACGATTCAGACGAAGCGAAGAGCGATCGAAATCTTGAAAAATTAATGAAGAATTTAGAGAACTTGAGTTCCACTATACAAAGCCTTCACAAAGGAGACTCTGTTTTTCAGTATTTTATGCAAAATGACAAYACTTTCTTTGAAGAACCATAGRCAGTTTATTGTACYGTRGTTCATGATGCTGTKGRGGGAGGGGAGGGTAYATTTGTTGACAATGGTGAARACATATCAACAYTTTTTATTTTGCTTGTTGTGCATGTTACGAAGACTTGTTAGCATAACGAAGTAGTATKTAACAATGTTGTGACTTACATCCATGCGAATTTAGCGCCACAATCAGACACAAMTCCAACTTCAAATTGTAAATGCTCTAATTTTATTCATTGTTCTCTTGCTTCATTTAGATTATAAGTTCAATCTAAGCAATTTCTTTTTTTCAGATAATTTTGCTATTTTTTCTTATAATATAATATAATTTTTCAGTGTAAATTTGGTAAAATATTGCAGCTTCAAATTTCCATAAAATTGTTGAATGAACATTAGCTATATGCATGTAATTTTGACTTGATAAAAATCAAGAAATGTTGAGAGTATGAAGATGTATGTATAAGTCTGATAGCTCTCAGCATTATGGGATGGTTAGGGGATGCTGAAGGTATTTGATTGTTGCACCATTTGGACCTTGAAATGCAATATTCATCAGCTATGCATACACATTACATTACAATATTGTCTCTATATACAAGATGGTTGGTTAATCTCCAACACCATATGCAAGTGAAAATTATCTTGAAAACTTACAACATTGATTCAAATTAAAGAAGACATTGGAAGTTATATGAAAAATACACAATAACATCCCCTAAAACATCCCATGAAAAAACAGGAACTTTAAGYTAAGTATGGCGCATTGTTGCAAGATGGGCTACAATCTATCTTGTTCATCTRAAAACATCTCGTCTACAAGAGCATAGCAGGGATTGCACACCCGCACAGGTTGATGATAACCAAAGACTGTGAGGCTGAAAACAGACAAAAATGACATGTCTTAATCAGATAACAAGTACAAAAGGCAATGTGTGCACTGTACAAATATTTTAAGGGACAAAAAGTAAGAGGGCAGCTATTGTCATCTTCTACAAAAAAAACATCTGCACAATTTTAGGGGACGCATGGGTGGCCGAGCGGTGAGATCGCTGGCCTGTCACCTCTGTGGACCCTGTTCGAATCTCGGTCGGGGCGCCATATGTGATTTGAGTTTCTTTCGTTCTCTCCTTGCGTCGAGGGTTTTTCCGGGTCTTTCCAGGTTTTCCTCCCTCAGTAAAAACGAACCATTTCTATCTGCTGTGCTCTGCGTTCAGTTGTYCGTTGCTATGTAAAGGAAGCGCCTAGCCGGCAGCTCGCCTATGYGTAAGTGTCTGTAAAATGTGTCTGTAAGATAGCACTTCGACTTGAGAGCACGTCGAGCTGCGTCTTTCGCAATTCAGCACCCATGCTGCCATGAAGGAMGATTAGCACCCAACACCTTTACCCTTTACCTTTACAATTTCAACATTAATGTATGTGAATAATTAAGATGTAATCTTGTCACTTGGTTTCACTTACATTATGGACTGATCTGTGCAATTGTGACAAAATACTCTTCCACAACAGCGACAATGATGTCTACGTCTTGTCTGCCAAACAAAATAGAATACAACATTACATTATTATTATTATTATCTGTCTCATTGCAACAGAAAAAGATAATAGTTAAGATGATAAAGCTAGAAAGTTGTCATTATACTCTGTTCTCAATACCTGTGTAAATGGTGCTCTACACTTTGGATTTGTGCACTGTGCTACCAGCTGTGAAGAAAATTCACAATATTAAATTCAATAAAAAGTTTCCCAATAAGGGTTTTCTGACAAGTGGGATGATTTTTTTACCTCATCTGGTACCCAAGTTAGTCTGTATGTGTTCTGTAAATGTAAAAGATCACTTCTGTCTCGCATTACTTGCTTGACTTGTTCATTGGCCTGCAATGAAAGTGATTAACACTTATAAGATGAATATTACTCCTGCAAGCTGCCATAAAATGCAAGTAAATTGGCATCCTAAATTGCATTATATGTAGTAATGCTCTAATAACTGGAATCTGTGAGGAGTAAGCCCTTATCAAGCATCTGCATGATGATCATGCATTTGCACATTGCTTTTCTGTGCCATCACTAGAACGTACTTCATGTATTGATGTCTCAGCTTCTTGTCGAATCATTGAAATCTTGTTACCATATGTTGCTTCCACCTGCAATAAGCATAAAGCATTTGGACTCCATCAATATAATTTGACTTAGTTTACAGACAGTAAAGTTTGTATACCCTTTTTAGTGTTATTTCATTTCTTTCTTTGAGATCTTCAACTTCTTGTCTTAGTTTGGTCACTTCTTTTTCATTATTCTAACAACCAAAATCATAATACAAGTTGAAAAATACATGCAAATAATGACTGCAATGTATTCCAGCCTACCTCTGCTGCTACTGCTATGGCTTGCATCAATCGTTTACATCTCTGTTCTAAGTCTTCTTTTTCCTTTTGGCTCTGGCGAAGTTTTTCCTTTATAAGATATTTTCAGAAACATTGTAC